TCACATACTGATGATCCTTCAAAATATGATCTCCTGATTATTACTGAGCTTTCCTAGTTACACATATACATCAAATAATGCCACATCATATAGGATCTATACTGACTAACATTAGAAGCTACCTGAGATCAAGCATCAAATGGAGCCAGTCTGCGCAAGTGATGGTATGCTTTTGATGCTGATCAGACATTTTCAGCATTGATGGCACTGACGACAATTTCTTTCTCTACCAGCCTCGGACATTTGAGATGGCAAGTCACAAGAATGAGTTAGACAGATTTGACTCACACATTACATTTTTTCATGAGACCAGTGGCAGACAATTAATTGATTTACATGCAAAAATCAAAGATCAATTTTATGAGTATATGGTTCATTTACACCTTATTTTGTAACTGACATATGTTTACATGGTCTTATCCTATATGAACCACCTCGTTTGTCTGCAGTCTACATAGTGTGAGCTAAGGAAGTACGCCTGAAGTTACAGCACTGATATATCAGTCACGGCTATACCATTGTGTTCAATAATAGGTTATCTGTTCCTCAGCTCCTCACAATATCATTCGATTTACAGCACAGCTGAGTACCTAAGTGGCCAGCGATATTTCTTCCCTCCACTGATAATAATAACTTTCCTTATAGGTCATATGGCTGCAGTCAATGACACTTCTGGAAGCAGAGTTGTCCAAAGTCTTGACAACAACAAAAGGCAACAGGGAGCTATTGTTCTGTAATGGCTATTTCACATCTCCTAAAGCCACAGTGCATGGATTCCTCCACCTCTGCAACTGGTGATAAAATTTAGGCCATGTTGTGAGAAGATACAGGTGCCAAGACAGAGTAAGCCCCTGCAGAAGTATCCTTGCTCCTCAGCCCAGTCATCTTGTGCTATCTCCAATTTAGGCTGCTAATGGTGTGGTAGTTTGCATTTCTACTTTCTTAAAAATGCAGTGCCTGGCACAATCACTGTTCAATTTGCCATGTGTCTTTTTTAAGGCTTGCCCTAGCGATGGTTCAAATGCAAAAAAACCTAGAATAATAATGTAATGCTTCCATTGCTTATGGGCAGATCTACTTTCTATTCTATTTATGCACTTTTTTCCTAACCAACAAGCTAGAATTTGATTCTGTATAATTTGGTACCAAAAGCTACATTTACTTGACATTAAGCTTGTGAAGTAAGACCTCCCAAAAAAGTTGAAAATTCAAAAATTAAGCATTACACTCTGTTCTTAGCCCACAGTGCTAATGGCACAGGAGTCTTGATCAAACAACTGGGAAGGTGAAGTAGACTTCTAAGAAAAAGAATAAGTCTGCTCCTTATGTTTGAATCTTTTAGATTCTGTTATTTTCATTCACAAAATTAGCCTTAAAAAATCTATTTCTTTAATTATCCCCTCCCTTTGTCCCACTTTGAAAGAAGAAAAAGAACAAAAGTTCATAGGAAGATATAAAATACGTATTACATTTATTCAGGAGACTTGAAAGGGCTCCTTTGGAGCCACTTGAGTCTCTCCACCCCAGCCTATCCAGTAAATACACAGTTACATAGTTTTAAAATTTTTTTTTGATAAAAATTATTTTTTGTCTACAGACAATAACCTGTGCACAGGTTCAAACATTAAAAGGCCAGAGGAAATACTGCCATCGTCTACTCTGGCCTCCTGCATCATACAGATCATAGTATTCTGAAGATACACAACCCTGTATAGTCAGCTTGATAGACTGTAACTTATTAACACAATGCATATTCAGTTTTGTATTGTTCCACAGTACAGATCATGACAATAGCAATATGGAAATGTTTATTAAAAACTTTATGAAAATAGTTGCGGCACATGAGCAGGAACCCAGATTGCAGAACTGAAAATATTTTCAACTTGTTTTTTCTTAATTCTTATAATTATAGGCCCTGGTAGAAAAACAACTGTTTGGAAAAAATAACATTGTCTTAGAATTTTTACTCATTTGAGTTCAAAACTAGATCAGGCAACACCATTAATTTACTCTGAACTTCTATAATTTGAAAGTAGCCAGTATGTATTCCGGAATTACAGTGAACACAATTGCTCCTACATCTTTTACTTAAAGCAAACCTTTATGACTCTGTTATAACCTACTGAAAATAGGAGTACGTAGTAGAAATGCTGACACAATCTTGCTCTGCATGACATAAACATGCCAATATAATATTTTCCTCCCTCTCTCTGTATATAATATATATGCACTTTTAAGTAACAGAAAATAGATTAAACAATCAGCTTACTCATGTATCTATGATGTACCATATACCAAGCACTAGACTTATCACACTTACCTTCCTGCATAATTAAAGTTAAATTCTCCAAATACAAACATTTTTGTTATCTTATCAAAGAACAACAGTCAACATGCTCAGCACTTCATTATTGTCAGGGAAACAGTTGCACAAAAAGTTAAAGCTGCCATGAAAGAAATTTCAAAATTGAGGTGGAATTTTCAAGTGAATAAAAAAACCCAGATGAGATGCTGTTCTGACTAAAAGATAATATAAAATAAGTTCTCCTATTGTAGAGGAGAACTAAATGCAGAATAAGTAGTGCTGTTAGTATTTTCCACCAACTATCCAAGGGACAAAATTGGAACAGCAACACGAATCGTTTTGTTCCGTCTTTAGCAGAACATAAGTTACTAGCTTGTTGAACAACAAAAAAGTCTCAATGAATTAAAATATGCATGTATATGTATGTGTGTGTTTGTTTGCATTTATAAGTATACAAACATGCACACGCAAATTTTAATATGTATGATAAACAGGCATAGAATTCACTAGATGAGTTGATGTGCAGTAAATATCCTATGTTACTTAACCGTCAATTAATCTATATTTTCAGCAACAACTGAACTGGATTTACTAAATAATGCTATGGGCTGATACTGGTGCACTTCTAAACTACAGTATTCAGTTTCTCTACAAAATATCTCCAAAATGCCATCTGCATTGCATATTTGTTGTAAAACTATATCTTTTCCTAATCTTCTTTTTTGTTAGCCATACTTATGTATATCTGTTTATGCTCTAAGTTTGCAATGCTTTATAGCATGCCACATATGTTCATAAAATAAGTTGTCAAATCAATACAAAATCATGTAATCGAACAAAAAGGCATACTATTTTTCATGCTATGCTCAATATAAATATAAATTCAAGGCAGTCAAGCTATCCATTACCAAAATAATAATAACAACCATAATATATATGTATATATACCTACACTCTCTAAAAAGTGATCCAGTTATGTGGTTTAAGAAACCAGTAAGAAATTGGTTGCATGTAGTATAAAAGTTTTGTTTCATGTGAAAGTCAATACTGGCGATTTCAAGTATTTTAATACTTTCCTATAACATTTTCATTAATAACTAACTATTTGTAGGAATGATAATTTTATACTGAAAATTGTATTCAAGTTAAAGAAAAATTAACTTCTACTGTAGCTCATTTTTAGAGTGTGCATGTATACATAGCAAAATACCCTCCTACAGATCTATCATAAATATTTCAGTTTTAAGTTATTTTCTATTAAAACATTTCACTTTTTTTTTTTTCAAATTTTGGATAACGTATATCAGGCCTTTAAAGAAATAAAACTCATCTTAGTTCATTTGCAACACCAGATTCCCTTCAGTTTGTGCCACTTTGCAAGTTAAAGGTCAGAGATCAAAGACATAGGACAGTACACTTTAAGGAAATTCAGACAGTGAAGCTGTTCACAGAAGACAATGTTTAACTTGGTAATGACAGTCAACAGGTCAATAATCAAGTTCAAGGCAAGCTGTTCATTGTTGCAAAAGCTACTCCCCTCAAATCCTGGCTTTCATAAAAAACCAGGTGTCTGACTTTTGGGGTGCATCATTCTGACCATCTTTAATAAGTTCACAGCCCAGTGACTGTAAAGCCTATCACTGCAAGAAGCAGCTCCTTAAATCAATAAAGAGGTCTGTCAGTTGCTGACTTTTCTCTAGGAAAAAAATATTGATACAAACCTGCTCTGCAGGTCACATGAAAATGACAATACTGCTGTTAGCACAAATTACACAGAATGAAAATATGCTTTGGTGGTCCCTTGGCTCTGTCAGTGATATCATATTCGGCTGAAGGCCAGAAATTTGACTAACCCTTTGAGAACTATGGTGAACATGCAAAGGGGTAACACACCGGAGGATACTCATGCAATATCAGAGTCAGTTTTTTTAGCTTCCCTTTGAAACTGTAGCTTTACCTCTGCAGAGGCAAATTGAATTATCATGCAACATAGTTTAAAAGAGAAATTCAAGATGCTTAAGAGAAGAGGCGAAGCTATAAAACTGTCACCAGTTCAGAAATATTCTTGGTAAGTGGTAGAAGTTATTAAAATAGGTTTGGTTCCTTCAACCAGAAAGTAGCTGGTAGATATATTTTGTTTTCTATTTATGTTACAAACATTTTTCTATCAATAATGCAAACAATTAAAAACACTCACTTGCAGTCACAGGAAATCTGTTTTGTAATACTGATTTTCTTTTAAAACCTGGATTACTCAAACACAATCCTATAATTTAATGACAACCAAGATTAACATCCACCAGACTCTGAAAACGGATGCAATAGTTCTCAAAGGGTTACACCACCAATGTAATACCAGTGTCAAGTTTCTCTTTATCATGACTGTTGCTTTAGTTCATTGAAATCCACTTCAGAGACACACTGCTTTTTAGTATGCTTTGGAATGAGTGCTCCTGACAGACCTATAAAAGGCCTGAGGCAGTTGGCTTGGTACAGCTTGGGAAACGTTATGCAGGAAAACCAACCAAAAATCAAACAAAGCAATAAAAAGGTTCTGCTTGAATATAGTAATGAATATAAATGAGTTTAAAACATTGAGGACGTAGCCCAGAGCAGCTGTAAAAAACACAAAATGAATGTATTATTAAGGCTGTTACTATATTGCAGATATTTTGGCCCCTTGTTTGTTGGAAAATGGCTGTCCGAACAGTCTGAAGTCCTGCGTGTCATCCAAGCCTCCCACTTGACAAAACTGAAGTAGGAGTATAGGACTTTATCCATAGCAGACAGAAAGCAATCCTCTTTGGAGACAAAGCTGTTTTGGGTCTTCTCACTTTCCTGAAAGTTTCGTTGTGGGTTGTTGTGTTTTTTTCTAAAAAAATTTACTTTCAGAATAAAATTTTTCAAAGGGGAACAGGCCTTGAGAGAAAAATGTAGAAACACTGGAGATTTTTTTTTTCCTCTTCATTAGTTAATCCTGATAGTTTATAGGGCATTGAGCGTGCAGAGGAAAGGCCTAGAATCGAATGACAAAGAAAGACAAAGGACTGAAGAAACAGCAGATACTGTGTATCATGGAAGCTTCCCAGCTGAGTGAATCACCACTCATGCGCAGGACAGGCAACCCCCTGGGTTTTAGAGATCAGCTTTGTTTCAGACCGACAGATGCCCGCTCCTAGCTAGGAAACTGCATAACAGCTCTCGTGTTGAATCTCAAGTTACCACAAACTCCTGGGAGGGAAAGAAAAAAAAACAACAAAACCCTACATCACACCCACTCTTGCATAGAGCGTTTGCAGTACAGTATGTGGCGGGGTGTTCCTTTCCTTTTGAACTGGAACACAGTGTAAACCAAGACGAGGAGGCACAAGGCCAGGATGCAGGGAATGACGATGGCTATGGCTTTCACAGTGCTGGCTGTGTTGTCCAGTTTGATGACAATGTCAACGTCATCTTGAGGGCTGTGTCGGTCTTTATCTCGATCTGTTGGTCCATCACAACCCATAAAATCCTTGAGGATGGATCTGGGATAGCCAGGTTCCACCCTGAGCATCTGGTTATTAAATTTCCAATACTCTTTTCCTTTGTAGAAATATGTGAAGCCTGAGGAAGAAAATTGCAATTATTCATGGTAATATCAGATCAAATCATGTTATCAACACAACATGACCAAAACTAGTGGTATCAAATTATTTTGTCAATAAAAAATAAAAAGGTCTAAGGAATAGGCTTCCATTATAGGTCTTTCAAATCTTCTTTACAAATTTTGTTTCTTTACTGTTTCCAGAAAATCTAATGTGTGGGCTTGGTTTTTTTCTTGGTTGAGTAACTGGGATTTTATTTTCTTCCATCACTACGAAAAAATAAAGGAATTCCTGTGAATATTATTTTTGACAGACTAAGGTTTAGCTGATTTGTTCATTCACTGAAAATTCAACCAGAGTTGATATTCTCAGGGCCACGACTTCAAAGTATCACAACATCTTCAAAATCGGAAGTCTACTGAAGTAAATTGCAGTGCTATGCTAGCCAGAAATAAGAACTGACCCTCTTTAACATCACATACCCCACTGCTGTACTTCAGAAGAAGGAAACTGGATGAAATAACAGTAGCTTTGCCAAGAGAAAAGAGGTGTAACCTAATTTAAGTTTGCTGCAAAAAGCTAGTATTTGATCAGACACAATCCATTGTTATTACTAAACATGCTGAAATGGAAAAAACAAACAAACAAAACCCAACTTGACTCCTTGCCAAAAATCTACAATACTTTACTATCCCAGCTGAAAAATGGCATTGATTTGATAAGAAGCAAACCTTCAGGATGGGTTAACTTTCTCCTACTATTTGTGAACTGAATGTAGATAGCTGGAGTTTTCCTTATCTGCACTTTATAGACCTCATCTTATTTCCTGCAGTATTAAAGGCCGCTAAGAATACTAAAAGAGATTGGGTACTATTTGTCATTTTAACAATGCTTCCTGAAGAGATTGGTAACTGGCTATCTGGAGGTGGTATCAGTAATCACTTGTTCAAACAGCAGTAAGTCTCCTTCAGTTCTAAAAAAATGACTTGACAGTATATTTTGTAGCTCAAATTGTAACAAAATCATCATGTACTGCCACTTTTAAGAATAGAATATTTGAACATTTGTCTATATTAGCTACTTATTTAATTCTAATGGCTTCCTAGCCACTGGAAAGGTACTATTTTCCTTTCCTTAATCCCTTGCTGTTTTACTTTCTGAGAATGTGTTGATGTATCTATAGAAAGGTACAATACTGGTTAAGAATTAAAAAAGAAAATAAGCGTCCCCATGTTCATGGCAGGGGGGTTGGAACTAGATGATCTTTAAGGTCCCTTCCAACTCAAACCATTCTATGATTCTCTGAAAAACACTGAGCTATATCAAAACAGGAGGTGTGTTCACAAAATGCCTTATATTCTGACTGGAACAAAATGAAAAAGAGGACTGTAATTCTTTAAATACAATGAAGTTTGAAGATTTTATCATATAGGCAGTTCCTTAAAGCACTCTGTAGCTTAAACAAAAAATATTACGGAATGCAAAATTTCAGTATTTCGAGCTACAAATTACCATACCTTTGCATTTTCTATAACAATGTGTATGCAAGACAGCACTGTACGTACTCGCCCTGGATAAATATTTCCAGTGTGGATGTTTGACATATTATCTCTATCAATATTCTAATACATATATATAGAAAATACACAGATATGACATCTCTAGATCTATATTCTTACCTATATACAGAACACATATGTGTATAAATCAGGGGCATATATGTCAGAATACTGGCATTAATTAGCATTGTTATTCTACATTACAATATTAAATTAAAACAGTTAAAATCAAAGCAGCAAAGGAATCATCAGCACCTATGGCTCTAGTAAAAATTCACCAGTCAGAGCATATTTTCCACTGGGAAATTCTGAAAGTAGTTTAAACTTTTCTATCCTTTTGCTGACACAGGAATCAGGATAAGAGTCAGTAGTAGCTGAAGGGTGGAAGTTACCAGCAGAGAAGGGTACTTCTAAAAGACTGAGTAGTTTTTACTCAGAACAAGTGACTTCACACAACTGTTGAAAGAGATTTCATCTAAAGTGCTTGACTTGTTAAGCCTTCTTTGGGAGCTGCTCCTTAAAATTTTCCAGGTGCTTAGTCACTGAGAATAGTGAGAGCAGTGCCTGACCCAGACAGCATGGAAGGGTTTAGCAGTCACTACTGAGTCATACAGAAACTCAAATTAGGAGTGGTAGTAAGCACAGGGCAAAAATAGTTCAGTGGGCTAATAAAGTAGACTACATTTCGTCTTTCTCCTCTCCAAAAATTGCCCAACTTTAGCAGAATTTCTAGTTGGCAGGTGAGATTTTTCTATGCTGCTCTCAAAGCAGAAATATTTCTCCAATCTGGAAAACTTTGTGTGATCTCATGGAGCAAGAGAAAGGAAATTTCTTCTTCAACTCCTGGTAAGAGTTTCTACCCCAGCATTAGAAACCAAGTCACGATATAGGAAATAGCAGGGAGAATTTCAAACATGTTACCTGTACCTTACCAAGCTTCTAGGATAATGAGTCAGGATGTTGACTAGAGCAGTCAACTAGAGTAGTTTTTTTCTCATCTTTCCCAAGCTTCGTACTGCAAGATTACCCAAAATTTTGACAGTGAAGGAAACCCCTTTATGACCAGGCTTATTGCAGGTGTTTATTTGCATGGCTTACACAACAGAAAGACAAGAGAAAGAAGTATTCTTTCAAACAAAGTGGATTAACTGGAAGATATGCTTTCTGATGTTCCCTTCTGCAGCTATATAGTAAAGCTTCATTGTGAACTCAGCTTTGCCCAAACAAAGGAGAATAGTTTCAGGAAATATGTAATCAACTTTCCAGCTAAGCTGTGGTACTTCTTATTTGCATCTCCTCTTGCTTCTTTCTCTCCTCATACAAAAAGCAGTGGAGTTGTAAAGTGTTTCGTAAGATGCCTACTTTCCTGATTTCAGGGAAAACACCTTAGTGGTCTTATTGGGAACTTTATACTGTCATTTTCAGTCCCTCTGTCTGCCCTGGGGCTGTTTTGGGCTTTCTGAGAAGCCCTCCTCCATGATGTCGTGTCCTGCTCAACCTCCCTCCTCATTCAAAGAGTCAGAAAAACTATCAAAGCCACAGGGTTAAAATAGAGGGGTAATTTTGATGCAATCAACAGTCTTTCCTACCTTAAGAATGAGTGTTCTGCCTCTGCAATACTTTCAAACCCACTGCTATTAGTGTTAGAGTAAGATATTTTTTATTTATAATGAGAAACTTATATACCTGAGCTCAGTACAGAAAACTTATGGGGAATGCAATCAAGGTAAGAAAAAAACCACAAACCCTTACGTACACACACATTAAGTTCCTTTTGGATGTAAAGCTTTAAAAATATTCTTTAAAAGTAATGAAGGGAAGAAAACTGAGATTATATCCAGTATGTTTATCTGTTCATACATAATATTTGTGCCCATTTCCACATATACATGCATTTACAGAGTTATTTGGTATGATGTATGCAGAATATCATCCTAAATTACCTACTTTCCAGTTAAAAACAAAACACACACAGACCCCCCCCCCCCCCAAGTCCAATCTAGCCAGAATCCAGAGAGGGTTTCTGCTTCTGGATAAAATGGAGACAAAGCAAGGAAGCAATTAAACATATTCCCGAAAAATACCCCAAACATTTCCATGGTAAATTACTTAATCAAGTTAGAGGTTGAAATAGGAGACTAAAGTGGTTTACACAAGGAAAGAAATCTTTTTATCTGCTTATTAAAAGGAAATTAAAATAATATGTCAGTATATACATGTGCTGTCTATGAAGCAAACAGAATAAGCTCAAAACCTACTAATAAATAAATCATAAATGCCATTCAACAGTTCAACAATAAGTGATAACAAATGTATATTTGTATTCCCTTCTAAGGGATCTAAATTTTGTGCAACTGTAGGCTCTGTTGGCAGCCTTACAGCAGCCCCCCTCCCCGATAGCACTGAACTCTTATAAAATGGAGATTTTGACTGCTCTCATTCATTTGCAGCTGTGGCCAGCTGACATTCTAGGTTCCTTTATGTGATGATGCACCTTAATACGTATAGTAGCAGGTCACAATAGCACCCCACCAATCTGAATTTGTGCATCATGAGCTTATGACATCTTTGGTTCACATAGATTCCTAAGGGTATTTCTGCTTAAGACAAAGATTTTGCTTCACTCTTCTAGCTGTTCTGAATAATAGTAATACCTTCTAAGCTGTTTAAATGGCCAACGCCCTGACAATTTAAACGACGTATACTATGTTCAGGAAGCTTGTTTTAAGAAGTACTATAATTCAGTAGACAAAAAGAAAAAACACAAAGAAAAAAAAACCAAAAAACCCACAAGAAAACAAAAATAAGTTAATTAAGACACAAGAAAAACAAAAGAATGGAAAGTAAGGTTTACAATACTAAATTTGAAACATTTTTCCCCACTGTGTTAAATGATACATGCAAACAGTCATTATCACAATAGCAAGTTCTGTCATAGGAAATGTTCTATTCATAAATCAAGAATTCTTTTGCTATTTAATGCGAACAGTGAATCACCTCTCTATTACTCTTACATAAAGTGTGTTAGTAAATGATTAAAACAGGAATATGTTTGCATACCATTTTCTTTGTGGACAAAGGCTCCCTGAGGAGATTCTGGGATACCTTTCCAAATTGTTATTGGTTTTGGGTAACCAGGGTCCATGGATCTCATTTCTTCACTGTACCTCCAGTACCTGTTTTTTTTTAAAGAAAAAAAAAAAAGAAGAAAAAAAAAGTGTTTATAAGATAGCAGATGAGTAACTACATACTTTTTTCCTTCTAACATTCGTTACACACATTAGCCACAAATGTGAACACTTGACCTCTTTTCTTTGAACATACTACTAGATTACAAGGAAATCTATTTGCTGACTGCACAACAGTTTCATTAAACAGAAAGAAGATAAAAGATTTTTCCACTTTGACAACTAAATCAGCATGCATCTCATAATCACAGCAATTCTGATGTCTAGGACTTCCGCATAGTGACACAGGAAGAAGTAACATATGCAAAAAAGATACACTAATGTTTCATTTTAATAATGAAAATTACAGCAGATTTAGAGTAAAATATTCCCAGAAATTTAACTCCTTATATGTGTGCATTACAGTAGCTTTTCATTGCATTATCATTAAATAGACATGGTATAATACAAAATTCAACTTGCTTTTGTGCCTTTTTGCCACTCCAGTTCAAAAAACTTCAGCATGCAAATTCTAGACAACCTGAACATGTAAGTATTTGCACTTGTGATATTATTTATACTTACAGATAATGTTGATAATTTCTTTGTCCTTATGCAGCTGGCTAGATATCATAAGTTGGTTCTAAGAATTAACATACTGTAGTGTCTTATTGAATCTTGACATAACATTTGGGTTTGTCATTTCATATTTTGATTGGCTTCCTTAATTTAGAACATACCAATTTAAAGCATAGTTTCCTTAGAGAATATTTTTCCAAATCCAGTTTTATTTATGTGAAAAACTACATTACAAGGCAGACACTCACCATTTCAGGACATCAAGACCGTGAGAATAAATCCGTTTCGTTGATAATCCGGTCACTGCTAAAAACCTGACGCTTTTTACGTTTTTCACATTAGAATTCATTTGACTCCAGCTTTTAAAAATCTTTGCTACGATCACTACTGATACATTAAGAAGTCCTTAAGTGGTTGATAGTTTGTCCTTGTGAACGTACTTAAGACACTCTCATCAACACATACCTTAATCTTTTTTAAGAACAAAATTTATAAACTCCTCTGTATTTCTCCCTGTGGAGCATTTCTCTGGCTTTAAATTCTTGATGAAATTAAATCAATAAAAGGTGGCAGATTTCAAGTGGGTTAAAAGTTGGCAAGTTACATTAAAAGACATTTATTTTTTCTCTTTCTTATGCAGAAATTATTTTTATAGCCTGATTTCTTAATCCAGTCACATATGTATCAGTAACCAGCCAACAAAACAATGCTCTTTATTTTGAAATGTAACATCTTTCAGAGTTTACATGGAGAAAAAAACGACACGTAGAAGTAGTAAACAAAGCTCTGGCATCAGTAACGTTGCAACCAGTTCTTGCTCATCTTTTGACTCCATGTTTCTTCATCCTTAATTTTTCTCTTTTCACATTTGCCAATTCTCTCTGTTTTTATTCTTGCTCTTTGCTGAGCTTAATATTGTAATTTTTAATCTACATTTTTATTTGCATTTTTTCTTCATCAGCTACCTTACCTTTTCCTCTAATCCTTTTTTCCCAGAACTCTATTTCCTTCCTGCATACTTTCCACTCATTTTCTTATTTTTTCTACCAACCTTTTCCCCTTCTTTAACTAATTTATGTGTTTTTCCACTAGGCTGCATGATGGAAATAGACAGTCCTATAGGACTTTCAAAAATATCGTCACCATTGTGGCTAGGCTTCGCAAACAAAGACATGGGAAGGGCTCTACCCACACTTGCTACAAGCGCACTGATGGCTAAAAAGGCCGATGCGGGACAGGCAAATCCAGTTGCAAAAGGCACAGAAGAAAGTCTCCTTAGGCGGTATTGGCGAGGCATGGTTCTTTCTGCGCTGTCTTTTCTCTCCGGGGTCAGTCTCGAGTGACCAGTGTCCTGAACCGCCTGCATGCAGGGTTGGGTCTGCGGCTTCCAGTGCACCTTATCACCTGCCATTTCGTCCCTCGCCTGTTGCTACAGGACTTTACAAATGTGGGTGTAACCTTCAAGCCTGCACAATGGATTTTTTAGGTGAGGCTCAGTGTGCGCAGAACTGGCCCCACCTTTTACTCCTAAGCTTCATCTGCCAGGGCCTAGATGGCTTGGATGGTCCTCAGGATGTAGATTTAGAGTATCCTTCTCTTAGATGGATGGCCTTACAGGGATAAACGAGCTCCATCTGCCCTGGTTTGGAGTTAGAGTTGTCCTTCTAGGATAGTTACCGGTAGGCTAGTGAGCCCATCCTACCCATGGACACACTTAGTCTGACCCTTCAGCTGAGATCTGTCTGGCATGGGAGACCCTATCGGAGGCATATGCCACCGCCAGCATAGCTCGCAACCTCATAAGGGCACGCAAGCTTCTCCTCCGCAACAAGGGGGTGTCCGTGGAGACATATATTCAATATATATGCAAGTTATATATAAGTGAGACATATATATTTCAAAAATATAACTTGTCGTTAAAAAGTGTCTTTGAGAACACACCCAGTGCACACTCAGAAGTCCCAAAAAATGTTGTTTTCTCAGCATTGATGAGAAATCCAATGAGGGAGGGGCTGATCATGACACTATCTCAGAAATCTGTGATGGAATAATAAGCATGATAAGCATGCCTACAGGGTAAGGGAAAGCCTAGTGTCATGCCAAATGTGCACAGGCAGACTCCCCAGTGATGATTTGAGTGATCCGAGCTTGAAAACCTATATAAATAGTGTTACTGTATCTCAAAGACTGATAAAGTAGGAGGAAAAATAAATGAAAATGCTCTTTGTGGCTTTAGAAAAAGGGCATTCAGAAAATATTTGCTAAAATGTTCTTTGCCGTATCTAATCCTATTTACTTAATGATATTCTGAACTACTGGATGACTCAGCTTTATGAAGAAAATTTAAACTCTAAAGCACAAAACTCAGTCACACCAGTCAGGGGCATAAACAAGGCCATGTGTCACAAAGTGCTGCAAATCTGTTATTATCTTGTCCTACGCTACTCAGTTCTGTTAGGAGAGGAACGAGAGGCAAAATGCTTTTTTTGTAGTTGTCTTTGTCCCCTCTTTAGCCTTCATGCAATTATTTGGAATAATTATCTTTAGTGTTTAGATGGATCATTTAAAATATTATTAATAATGCTGAATACAACAGCCACTTTAGAGACAGGAAGATTACAATACTATTTAATATTTGTACTTTTAAACCTTCTTACTGTTCTTTCGTTTGTTTTGTGGTTTATTTTTTATATAGCTAATATTTGGTATTCTATTGCTCTAACTTTTTTATGTATACCACTGTTCTGGGACATTTAACTCTGCCTAGATCCTGCCCTTGAGCTCCTTTACTATAGATTATCATCAAACCAAAATAAATATACAGGTTGTTGAGTTACATAAGGAGGAACCTAACGTGTTGTTTTAATGCTAGCACAACTTCTTTCATTCCTATCTTGCAACAATGAGAAGCTACATTTATGTTGCAACATTCCTACAGTAGGCTTATACATACTACTAAAAACAGCAGGAGAATTCAACTCTAACTTTACATTACAAAAAAATTGTGATATAAGCAATAGACACTGAGAAGCTTAGTGGTATATAGGTTTATTCCCACTGGTGGTCAATATCCTGTAATAGCTCAATTATCTCTGCAAGGCCTATGTTGTTCGATCTTCTTCTAACATACTCTTTTTGCATTTATATCCTGCTGAGTTTTATTGTGCTTGTTAGCTCTAAGTAGCAACTTCTCTGTCAACAGGTGTTTTCTCTGATAGTCCTTTTTTTCTTCTGTTATTAGTAGTGTTTTAGGAAAGTCTGGACTATGAGTAACTGCCTGTGCATAGAAATATAAAATGACACTGTTGAATAAAGCCTAAAGGAAGTGCAAGTCACATAAGATTCCTACTCTATCCTCCCAGGAGTGTAGGGGTGGAAGGTTATTACCTGAAAATGAACTTACATTTTTCAAAAAATTTACTCAACCATGGGAAGAAAATTATTTAGGTCACTTTCTTCTTGACTCTGAAAATTGATTGCTTGAAATGATATCTAGTTTTCAAGCAGCACAAAAATTTTACTTAGTTACCTGATTTCCTCATCATGAGTGTTGGAGAATTATTTTTTTTTAAAAAAACAGCTGTAACAATAACATTGTGGCAATCTGTAATGCAATAGTAAGATATGGCCAAAAAATGATCAACTGTAGTGTGCTAAACATATCCTATGATATGCATTACTTTCTTAAGTGATCCATGAACATTGTTAGTGTCTTAGAATCCTAAGCACCACACAGTAATAAAAGTAGTCACCACTTTTAACAATAACACAAATATTACAATTATTAATAACTAATATTTTGTCTCTGAGCACTCAGAATTTGCACAGTGACACATCTATCAACAAAGATAGTAACACTGAAATCCTGTAAAATCCATCATACAGATAACTTGCAGGGTTTCAAAAATTAATGAGCTCTCATGACATTTCTATAGAGCAGACAAACATTTCTGCCTTTATTTTTACAGATGCAGCAACACTATGTGATTAGTGCAAGTCTGTTTCAGGATAGAAAAATAACACAGATTTTACAAAGTTTTGTTTCTTTATTAATCATAAAACAAAGTGTACCTTCTGAAGGAAACTGTAAGATTTGCTAAAAAACAATTCCTGGAGAATTGCTCAAATCTTTCTCTAGCTACTTGGTTTAGCTGTAATTTCCCTTTCTTATCTCATTCTTAAATACTAGCAGGGAAGTAATTTTCACTGACCTTAAAAAGCTTTGCAACATGCCTTGCCTATTTATGTGCCAGGGCTTAGAAATGTGTATAAAAAGGAGCAGGTCAGACTGTACATAACCATCACTTTGAATATTTAAGTTCAAATTTGCCACAACTTTGACTTGATTTCCAACACATAGATTTTCCACTAGGTATACATACAGTCATTTTGGTATATTCACACAAATATAATTTGAGTTAAAAGGAAAGTAAAAATATTATAGCTCTCTATGCAGGAGGAGTTAATTTCATCCATAGAAAATGAATGGTTTAAGTCACTTGACCTTTTGGGTTTTTTTGAGAAACAGAAGAAAATATTAGCATGCTTAGCTCATATCCGCTGAATTGTCTCCTTGCTGAATTCCTATACCAACCTATCTCCTTTGAAGAAGTAGGTCTTCCCAACATCTTCCCACCAAATTGCTGAATCAATGCCATGGGAAGGAATTCCACTTCCAAGTGTTATCAAATCATGAGGATAACCTGGCTGGAGAGTAGTGTCCTTGAAAACCCAGAACTTGTTACCTGCACAAAAGCATATATATACACATACATATATGTGTGTTAGTCTTCAGTACTCTCAGTATCAATACACTCCTAAAAATACAAAAGAATCCCAAAGGGCTATAGTTATTCTGACAAACATAAAGAAATAAAAAATGTTTAATCCCTGTAGATAATCCAAAATTAAATACACTTTATAGATACCTTGCATTTATAAAGCACCTTTTATTCAGTAAGCCCACAGAATATTTTGCTATCGGCTATATAGGGATTAAAGCCAGAATGAAAACAAAGTAATCTCAAGAGGCTCTGTAGTTTATGATGTAACACATTTACAGCAATACTACACAACAGTTTTATGTTTCCTGAGGAAAGAAGTGTGAATTTTAAGACAAAATTTTGCAAGACTACATATTAATAAATAAAAAATAAAAATTCCCATCTTCATAGAGACAATATACTTTTATTACTCCGTACTCTTCTTCTCCTCAAGAACTTGAATTACTTCCGAAGGATGTACAGATTATTTCAGAAGTGACCATAGAATTTAAAATATATTTGTTTTCTCACATTTTCTTTAAGATGGCAAACTGAAGTCTGTAATTTCCACAGATGAAAACTTTGTGCTTCTGAAATTAATGGGGGGTTGCCTTTAGTTCCAGTCACAGTAAGATTTAACCTTTTGTTGTGGGTGACAAATCATTCAAAATCGTCCAATTGACTTATTACATGCCGACAGAAGAAGGCAGTTGTACAATTCTAGCTGGTGTTGGCTCTTGTGTCTACACAAACCTCAGGTTACCTGAAGTGTCTTAAATATGAGTAATAGCCTAGGGCCTCCTGGACAAAAATGCTCAGTGGTTGAACCCCTGCTGCTACAGTTACTAGCTAAATATGTTGTCTTTATAGGGCTATGCAGGCCTACAGAAGCAGCAGCTGCATCAGTGTTTTTTGCTATAGCCTCCGCCGTACCTGTTTTTGGAGAGGATGCTTTATATGCTCTCTCTTGTAATTGGATAGCTTACCTCACAAGTCCACAACCACAGTTCCCAGCTTTAGTTTGCTCTAGCTTCCTAGCCAAGCTCTTCTTTCTCACTGAACATCTCATAATCACCTCATGTGGTTCATCATTTCATGTTAAGCTTTTGGTCTAACATCTTCCCCAATAACTGTGATTTCGTCTTGACTCTTTACTAAGGTTTTCTCAAAATACTGTGCCTCCTGTCCTATTCTTGCAGCCACCTTCTCCCTTTTACACTTTTGCTTTCTTCTAGTTCTTCTTCTCACTTGTGCCTTTTCAGTAGAGACTTTTCTTTCAAATAGACAGCTTTGGCTGAAAAAAGGGAATAAAGATCCTCATATGCCCCCTAGAAACAGGGAAAAGGGAGCATAATTTGCATTTTAGTACATATATGAGGAGCTTTCTTTGAAGTCTGTCTTCTCCTTGCATTATGCCATTTGGGACACAGGGACACTCCTTCTGAGTTAGACTATAGACTCCACCATTTAGGAATGATGTGTTTACTTTCTCCTCAAAGCACTACCTTCATCTGCATTTCCAAAAAGCTTTTCTATTTTTATTAATAATAATACTGAAGAAGTAGGTGCTCATGTAGACCCTTCTGAGTCACATACATAAAAAATGTTGAGAGAGGATCCATGAACATATATATTGAATTGACCTATTGGATAATTCACTTTGGTCTACTCATTGCTATTTATGATGATGAGATCTAAAAAAGTAAGGGGAAAAATTGAAAATATATTTTGCTGAAACAGATTTGAAAAGAGGTCCTGAGAAATTAAATCATGGCTGTTCATTTTAGCCATTGCCCCTACCCATAAGGCTAGGCAGGCTGTTACACAGACTTATGAGGTTAAGGCACTGTGCTGTATAAATATTTTATAAGGAAATGTAATGTAACTCAAAAGATCTAGGATCAGGTGCATGCCAGAGTCAGAAAGAGTGAAAAATCCAGAGAGTTGTTTTGCAGTTGGATTTATATCTCAGTGATATTAAACATTTGTTTAAAGGGAAGGGTTTTGTAATCTCCCTGTTTGCACTTTAGTGATTTTAAGTGTGCTTTCATTTTATCACAGTTTTAATTAGGAGAAGGTGATATAGTTTCAGTCCTTTCCATGCTGGGTTTCCAGAGTAATTTTTTTATCAGCTTCTTTACAGCTGCGCATCACCCACTTCCAAGCACAGACACCACAGTTTACTCAACAAATCAATCTTCTCCCCCCTGCCAGTTGAAGGAAGAAAGGGCTCAAAGGATGAGTATGTACAGAGCCATGTGAAGTACTAAAAATAACAGAGACACAGAGATCTATGAAGAAAGCTGAGGTCTTTGTTGACCTGGGATTAAGGTCTGTGCTAACCTGACATTTACCATCACTGAGATTCCTTACAAAAAAATCAGTTACAGGGTTTGATCATGTCACGGCTGAGCATCTTCAGTCATTCACTGTCCCTCTTCCCATGTGAGTAATCCCTTTGTCAATGCACATGACTGGACACAGAAGGCTTCAGATGGCAATGGCAGTTTCAAACGCAATGATAAGAGAAGTCATGCGTTTTGGACCTTACTAGTTGATACTTATGGTGTGAACAACAGATGGTACCCAGAAAACGATACTGAGCCAGTTCATTTCTATTTCAGAAGAACATTCAAAGTGACAGCTGTTGCACAGCATTGAGAGGTGTATGCTGTGATGTATGCCTCTACCTTTCTCTGTGCCTCACAAGGAATAAAAGTGGTGGCAATTGTTAGGAACAGATCATTATCAGACATACTCGATGAGTCAAATTTAGCTATTAACATGATCAGGTCATACCAAAATAAACAAGGGTCGAGCACACACCATTAGAAGTAACAGCAACGCTGAGCCAGGTATTTGTTGCATATTCAGATATACTTAAGTAGAAGGAAGGTGTAGATGTGGAAACACAAGACTTAAGAAACTAAATTCTTCGTGGAATTTCTTACTTAGAAGCAAATTCTGTCTGGGTAAAGAGAGAAAAGGTAAATTTAACTGTATTTTATGGATAGAATAAGGCATTGAGAGCTCTAACACATGTAGGCAAGACTTCTATTGATTCTAACTAGACGGAACTGTATTTAATATTTACTTTAGAAGGCATGTTTAGTCTGTTACAACTGTGTTGACTGTTAATAGGACGGACCTATATAAGAAATCCAAATTTTCCATCTGGCTCACAGTTTACATTTTGACTTTTTGTTTGTTTGATTCAGGGGACTTTAGGTGTTTTGTTGTTTTGTATTATTTTTCTCTTTAGCTTCTTTCCCTCAGCTGGAGGAAAGTGGGTGGCTGTTGATCAGAGCATTTCTGAAAAGTCAGAAAAAATGAGAAGCTTTTAAACTCAGACCCAAATATTAGGACGAATTAAAGCTGAAAATCAGCGCGAAAGATGCCCAACTGTGATGAGAATTAGCTCCTTTTATTTCTCTTACATTTATGTATCTTAAAATGTATTAAAAAAGAATGCTTAAGTCAGTGTGCTTTTGTATAGCTCATGTTCCTCTTTCATAAGCAAAATCTATACACATCATTAATTGTGATTATAATGGAAATAAAAAATATATGACAAAACTAGAATAGTTATAGCTTGATTCTTCTTATAGACAATTAACTAATGCTTGTTCAGAGCCCTAGCCTATGCCCTTGACAGAAATAACCAATGTATTTAATTTTATGAAGTGTGGGGTTTTTTAAGGTCTGGTTGGTGGCTTTGTTATTCTCACAGAGAATAAAGCACCACATGTTTCATGAAGTCTGGCCAGCCTTCAGAATGTTTCATCTCTCTGCTTTTATTCCCTAATGTAAGATCTAATATAATATCAAGCAGAATGCTAAGGTCACAAGCTGAGAATTAAGCAAGTGATAAAAAAGTCAAAATGTCTTATTTTTTGCAATAATGCTTTGTCAAATATCATCACTGTTTAATTGAGAAGGATGAACCATAACTGCAAATATTTGAAGTCTCTCAACATCTATCTTTGACATTATAGAAAAAAATACGGGAAGTAAAGGGTATCTGTATTGCTATGCTTCACTTAAAATACTGGATATATAACTTCAGATATTCCTGAGACTATTTAACTAGCTACTGACTACTGCAAGGAATTACGCAGTTTTTAGCAACTGTGGATCTTCCTCTGTAGAACCAGCATGCCGAATAGTTGTGCTCCTGGGTTGTCAGGAACCGAGTTTTTCATTCATGTCATGTACAATTGTGATATGTGCGTAGTGCAAGACCTACATAGGATATAGCATATAATCACTGTGTTATAGCGATGAGACAAATTTTCAAAACTGTTGAGAATTACATTAGTTTGAAACCAGTTAAAATTTTAATATCTAATTCTGAAGGTTTCTTTTCCTCCAGACACCCTTGCTTTTAATTTTGGTCTTTCAAGCCAGTATCAAGTGTCTTCTTACTAATATCCCAAATTACTATTAATGCTTCCCTTTTTCTCATTCTCTGTTTCCCACAATAAGTTTCTGTCATTTCCCTGCACCATGATCTGACCCTGTAGTAAATCTATTTTTCAGAATCAAACTGTTAAGCGGTGGGATAAGTGCAGTTGGAAGTTATGATGGTGGCACCAGTAGCACAAGTTTTACAGCAGCCTTTCTATTGCTACATTTGGTTTACCATAATATTCAACAGCACAGATGGCTTGATTATTTCATTTTTAGCACCATATAAATTCCTACAGGTATATAAAATAAATTTAACTACTCAGATTTCCTCATTAAAAAAAACCCCAAACCCAGTATCATTCTGGTGCCATCTTCCTATTATCATTCAGCACGGACACCAGCAGTGAATAGTAACAAGAATGTAAGCATCTGTTTTTCATAAGCAGCCATCCACCAGATCGCTATGTACTTTATGAGCATAATAAGGCGCAAGGAGTCATGCCAAGTATCTTAAGCCACTCACAATGAGCATGCATCACTTTGCACTACAAACATGTTACTAAATTTTCACAATTGTTTTTCCTTGCATAAATAAATATTAATGCATAAAAAAGTTAAAATGGTAAAATTAAAAAATCAAAATCAATGAAATTTCAAAACCAACAAAGACATTTGATCAAAGAATCTTAAACTTGATTCAGCTTGGTTTTCTATAGACATCGAACACATTATGTACAATCCCACAGGTTGCTCAAGTATTCTCTTGCGAGTAATGTCAAATAGGTATAAACATGCCAATAGATTTTATTCGCACAAGTTAAGAATAACTATAATTCTCATAGCAAAAGTGCAAGCTTTAAAGGCATTTCAAAATTTCATAAATAAATGTTCCATCCTGAAATGACATCTTATATCATTTGCATATGGCTTATATTTTACCAAGATAGCTCCTATTTTAAAAAAATGTTAAATTGTAAAATACTTTTATACCTTGACTAATCTGTATTTCTATATTGTAAGGAAGCCTATTAATATCATGAATCCAAGTGTATACATGAAGGGAGGAAAAATCTAACGTTAATTAAAAAAAGTAATAAAGATCTAAATCTGCTTTATATTTTAAATCAACTATTTCAAATTTAATGTTTGCTGTCCTGAAAGACAAAGATTGAAACAAATCAAATGGAGTACAGTTTATTTTTTAAAAAAATTACATTTATGGATTTCTAAAGAGATAAACAGAATGTTTCAATCCAAGGTGGTTCACAAGGTCTATTCTCAGTGCATCTGAAAAATGTCACTTGCCTAACAGAATATTGTTAATCTTGAACTTAATGTCAGCGTAGGCATGTGAGGAGAAGTAAGGTGTTGATTACTCACTAGTAATCATAGATGAGTAAATTGGCTTACTCCTTTCGTCACCTTCCTCAGAGAGTAGAGATACTGCTCCACAAGTGTGAAAAGAGTGAAAAAAACAGTCAGTCACAGGAGGCCCTGTACTGCACTAGTTGCTTCCACATGGCTTCCAAAGTGAGTGAAAGAGAGCAACGGATATGAAAGGTACGCTAGGAACCTTCCTTTGAGTATCTGCGGAAGAAGTCGTGGCTGTTCTGAAGGGAGGATATTTAGACACTGACCTGTTTCTCCAGCACACGTCGGAGATCCAAGACTCTACCTTACAGGTTGCTGGATGTCACTGCTACCTTGAGAAGCTCTATGTTAGCACTCACTCCACCTTTTCTACTTTTTTTCTGCATGATGGACATGTTGGCTTAGGTATGTGCTTTTTGAACGCATCTGTATGCCAAACTTCAGATTTGAAGCTGCTTCTAGAACTTGGTTTCACCAGTTTTACATGGGTAAAGCACACTACCTGGACAATATGTTCTACTTGCTTGTCATCTTAGCAACAATCAACTTGACTATTTCTAGCACCTTTGGGAGGAAGACATATACTCTTTTCCCAAGAAGAACTTTTGTGATGGAATGGAAGAAATGCGACAATGACTGTTACCTATAGTTTATTTACACAGACTTCTACTATCATGTTGCACATGGCAGCTGAGATTCCTGGTTAACAGAAATTTCCAAGGACACACATACAAAAGACTCAGCTGAAACTACTGGTTTTGTGACAGTGGATGAACGTGAATTACACTGATACAAAAACACTAACAGATATCGGAAACCATGAAGAGGAAGTGGCAGAGAAGCAAAAAGAAAAGAAGATCACACAAGGAAGTGCAATGACTTTTGACCCTGGCAAACAAAGGGACAACACAAATGTCACTGGAAAAATAATGGAAGCAACTCTGAAAAGAAAGCAGGTTAAAAAATACCTGTAACAGGAAATGCAAGTATCATATGATATAAACTAGAAAGCACAAAACTAGCTTATTTGAAATCAGAAAGTGTAAGTTGGGGCTGAATAGGAAGAAAAAATCTTTACATTCTGAATTCCAGGAGCAAAATCCTGCTGCTTCTGATTGCTTTAATTAATCCTGATTATTTAATTTCTCAGGGAGAAAGTAGAGAAATCTCCCTCTGTCTGCTACGTGTTATTTCTAATGTGCAAACTACTGAATCAACCCATTCCTGTAAGACATAAGAGGACTCAGCACTGAGTGAAGAATTAAAGATAAAACATATTTTGAGGTCGCTGGGAAGGAAAGAAAGCAGGTATACGATCAAGCTTGATAATTTCTTTGTGAGGTTTAGGTAATGGACTGCAGCATTATCAAGGTAGAGGTCCGGAATGCACATGGTAACTCCTTTGCTCGATGTACCAGGAATGAGCAAAGCAGTACCTACAGAGTAATATTTGTATCCTCCCATGTCCCAGAGGGATGGAGATTTGGATGTACCTTGATCATGAGACCTAATCTTATCAATCTTCCAGAGTTTATGATATGAAGCTTATTGCATGGTAACAGAAGTAAGAACATATGCTATATATTGAAGCCATGTAAACAGAAAATGCACTACATAGGATGTAATTTTCCTTAGGACTTGCACAAAAATATACAATTTCTGTAGTAGTAAAACACAAACTTCATCTTCATTGTACTGTCATGCATTGTTTCTGCATGTTATTAAACATTTTCCATTTAGCATTCTCAAGTTGACAGTGTTTCCATGGTGAAAGAAATATTGTTTCTACCTCCCTGCTAATGATTCCACTGTAAAAATTCATTTTTGATACAGAAACTTAATTTTTTTCTGCTTTTTTGTGATGAGTTAACAAGTGAATCACGCACAACACTAAATAGCTGAATAATTTTTCACATATCTGTGAAGTTTCTTCTTTCTTCTTCCAAATTATTGTCTTACAAACATACTTTACACGGTTTTCACTCTTTTCATCCTTTTGTTGCTAAATGGGTATTTAGTTAACATATAGGATAATTTTCTCATTAAATTTTGACTAGATGCATGTTCAAGAATTTTAATTTTGAAGAATGGATGATGTCTGGAGTGAAACTTTAAAAAGAATGATTAGCAACAATTCAATCCATACAACCTATTTTCTATAGTTTATGCTCCTTTAAAAATACAAAGTACACATCTATGAGAAAGACATTTATTTCTCCTACCTGAAATCCCTAATATGACAGCTCTCAGATTAAGTAAGTACAGTGAAATACAGTGACATATATATATAGCACAGATACTATTTGAATATATGCAAATTTAATTTGTAAAAATGAATAGCAGAGGATCACAAAATAAATAAAAAAGGAACTGTGCTCATTCTTGCTTCCTAATGCACATTTTTCAAAAAAGATGTCACAGTAGATCATTGCATTGCTACGTCTCTTATTTATACTTCCAAATTTTACACTGAATATGTAAGAGTAAATTATCTGATACTCTGAAGGGTAATCATAAATTAAAGCTGCAGTTGCCAAAATGAGAAAACATAACTCATATACCCTTCATTTAGCTACCAGTTTGCAGCATGACTTACAAATTATTTGTAAAAATAAGCAAGATATGTTCCCAGAAAGCATCACAGCTGAAAGTATCACACAAAAAGCTTACTTTTCTTCTTTTCTTACCTTTAAAGAAGACAAAATTCCCCTCACTGTTTTCATAAACTGCATCAATGCTGGGAGGCAGTCCCCTCCAGAAGTAGGTAATCTGCATGGGGTATCCATCCATCACCCTGTTGTTTCTGACTCGCCAAAACCACTGATCCTGGAAACCAAATATACGTCTCTTACTATGCTTTGAGGCATTTATATGTGTTCAGTTGCTGTCTTGAAAATACTGAACAGCCTATCCTAGCATTCTTAAAGCATGACCTTTCACTGTTTGCATAACCATAGTCGTGTTTGCATTCGTGTCACATGCGCACATTAAAAATGTGTCAGAACTAGTTGTTCCCTGAGGTGGGAATAAGCTACCCACGTGAACTGTGTGTTCCGTATAGATAGCCTTCAGCACAACATACAGCGTGCTCCATGAGACCATGTAACTCTCTCAAGGACATTCCTGTAAGTCCACATTTGTGGACTATGAGTGCTTTTAGACCAAACCACATGCATATGGGTAAGCCTAATATAATGGGACTAGATAGGCTTTGAAGATCAACTAATTCTGCAAGCCATCTTTTTGCAGTGGGTGCTAACAGTGAAAGGTTGATAGATACAGCTTTAACATTACCACATCAGTCTGGTAAGAACTGCACTTTGATGACAACTTTACTGTAGTGAAGATTTGCAATGTTTCTGTGTAATATTGAATAGAACGATTATTATTATAGCCAGTTATAGGTGCTAAATCCAGTGTCCTAGTAAATGCCTTTTAGCTTGTTTCCATTTAAAATGGCTTCTCCCCATGGGATACGCTATTGCTTTAAGTGAGAGTCATAAGGAAGTTGCATTGGTGAGGAATGAGGAATGTTCAAACTGAGAAATGAGTATGTGACACATTACGTGGGTGTTGATAAGGATGTCATTGTTGTACTTCTTCAGCTCTTCGAATAACAACGGCTCCAGTTCACCCAATATTTAGAGATGAAGGATGGGGTAAGCAAGTATTTAACTTTTTACACGTTTGCACATTTTTACAGCATTAATATATACGTATAAAAATATCCCAAACCTTAAATGATAAAGGAAGTGCCATTCTGTCAGATATCTGTCACAGTTTCACATGGCACTTAAGCCTTCTATCTGTATAGGTCAACTTGCCAAGCAAAAGAGAACCATGCTCTTATGGAAACTGGCACAGCTTAGAGAGGAGGTTAATACTTCGCAGGAGGAGGCTTACGATGAACTTTATTCATCATCTTTCCAAACCTGAGATCACAGCTTATCTTTAATTGTTTATCTTTCCAATGACTCAACAATTCATAAATCTCCACAAAAAGTATTAGCTATAAAAATGCAACACAGCACAATATACAAAAACACATCTTAATCATGTGCATAAATGAGTCTAAAATTGAAAGAGTCATTTTGAGCCCCAGATTTCTGACAACTTCAATATTAAAAAAGTTCAAATAGATTACACAATCTGAAAAATATCATATTGAAAAGCTGCAATTTTCTGGAAATAATACTACTAAAATCGCTCACATTTTTTCATGTCTACTATTTCACTTCTAGTGTAACACAGTTGCACCATTCTCATCTTATATTCTTGTTTTCAGCTTTCATTTTTGTCTATTGTAAGACATATTTTAACATGTAAGGAAGGTCAGCACATCAATTTTTTAGGATTAATTTACTAAATTCTGGTAAAAGAACTGAAAAAAAAAGGGGAAATAATAGAGATACAAGTATTTAGGAAGACCTAAATAAAGCATGTTTTTTTTATGCTGGAACAGATTATGACAACCTCTGTTATTTTTTATTAAAGCATGTAGCTAAGACATCAGGGCTCTGAAAAAAAAAAAAATTAGGGTGAATATCACGAAAGCAGACATCTGGCAGTACCTTTTCATTGAAATAGTAACAAATGCTTGAAATAGATTTTCAAGTCAGATTTATTAGGCATCATCAATCTAGGAATGACTTAGGGGAGGAATGATGTAATAGCAAGTCTCAGTAAGCTAAACAGTTCTTTGTCCTCCCCAAATGTCTATAAAACCCTCAGAAGCCAAGTACTATCTCAGAGATCAGTTATCAAAGTTTTAAAAAAGGACAAACAAGTTGCAAGCTGCACCGATTTAAAATTGCTCTCTCTATGATAGGTAACATCTTCCGTACAACGGAATATTTCAGTATTGTCTTTCTTCACTCCACAACAGACACCCCTTTTCATTTGTTTGAATTTAGTTGCAAAAGCACATCTTAGAAAACTCAGAAAAAACTCAGTTGCAGGAAAGAACATACCCATCTCTCATAAGATGTCCACTGACTCAGAAGGACGTTGATCAAGTTGTGGGTACAAAATAAGCAAGATGTTTAAAGCTGAACAGAGGCTGACTACTCAGCTGAATAGAAAAGGACATAGGTGTACATAATCATTTCACTGGACAAAGGTTGCAAATTTAATGTTCAGGCTTTCAGGAGTTTCCCAATACAACACATAGACTCCAGGAAGTCTGGACACCAGTGCTATAGGCAAAGCTTATAACATTCTATGTTGGTTAATGAATCTTATCTTTCAACTGCTACACCAAAGCAGATCTTGCAAATCTTGCTAATATCTTACAGAGAATGATTTCTGTGGCTCTAATGACAGGAATAATCTTCTTTTCATCAAGGCTACTTGATCAACTACACTGTTAAACAGTGAATCAATTCCACTGATTTTTTTTTTAAAAAAAACAAATAAAAAACCTCAAAATAAAATATTAAACAATATTCCAAACTTTAAATAGTCATGGCTAAATTCAGTACTTCTGGGGTTGCTCAGCCTGGAGAAAAGGAGGCCGAGGGGAGATCTTATCACCCTTTACAACTACCTCAAAGGTGGCTGTAGTGAGTTGGGAGTTGGTCTCTTCTCTCATGCAACAAGCAATAGAAAAAAAGGAAACAGCCTCAAGTTGCTCCTGAGGATTGGATATTAGGAAAATATTGTTCACTGAAAGGGTTGTCAAGCACTGGAACAGGCTGCCCAGGGAAGTGTTTGAGTAAGCATCCCTGGAGATATTTAAAAGGCATGTAAATGTGGTGTGCAGGGACATGGTTTAGTGGTGGACCTGGCACTGCTAGGCTAACAGTTGAATTTGATGATCTTAAAGGTCTTTTCCAACCTAAACAATTATATGTTTCATAAACTTCCAAGCGCTAAGGCAAATGTGAATAGAGTAGCAACCAGTCCTTTTAGTTTGGGCAGTTTGCACTGCTGGTTGGCTAGTACTATCCCATAAGGGTGATTTCTGGTATCAAAGCGTCAGTGGAATGACCTCAGTAAAGAGATTTAACATGCATTCTTGAAAAGAAACAGACTCTGCAACGAACAGAGATTTCACACAAAATCTGAAAAAACAACAAGTCAAAGGTCCTCTTCTTTAGAATGTTTTGTTATAGCCTTAATGCTTTCTGGAATATTTGCAATAATTCATTTTGATAACAAGACCAGTAATACTATCCTCTGCAAATTTGGTATTGAGTGGTATGCCAAATGATGTATTTAACATTTAATATTAGCTATTTGCAACATAATAGTTAGACTATTTTTTTTCCCCTCAAATTCCTTAGCAAACTAATAATTTGCCCTGCTATACCATGATTAAAATCTCCACAATAAGACAATGATGGCAAAGCTGGAATGCTTGATTCATCCATTTGAACATCTGTTTAGAAATGAATCACTGAACCTAGCACAATAATGATCCTTCACATGAACATTATAAGGTAAGCTTTACTTGTTTTTTTACTTCTTTACACTGATTATAAAGGGAATCTAGAAACCTGGCTCTTGTTTAGATGTCTGCAAAGTACAAAGTGGGCAACTAAATGCAAGTGAGATAAATTCCATCCATTTTCTACCTTTTTTCTCCTGAGTTCAACCTGACATAATCCAAAGACCATAAAACCATAATGATAACGACACAGGGTCAGATCAGGGTTCATCTTGGCCTGTATTCCATTTCTGCTGGAGTCAATAGCAAATTACCAGTAAGGCTTCAACCCCGAAGTTCTCAGGCAGTTGGACTAGATTATCACTGTAGGGTGATAATACCGTATTCTATGATATGCTATTCCTATTCCTATAAAAAGAAAAGGAATATGCAATGACAACTCCCTGATACACTCTCCTCATCACCCACCACTTGTTTTCCAGGGACCTCCTGAACAAAAGTAAATAATTAATAGAACTTGATAGACGTTTAATCTTTTGGACTCCTTCACAAACACATTCATCCACAGCTATCTGCAGAAATGTGTACGACAATTTAACATCCGAGGGTGTATGAAAGAACATAAGCAATCATCAGCAGCCACAGCTGCTCACTGGTGTTCAGTCTTCATTCACCTTTTTTCTTCATAACCAAGAATAGTCACACTTTGATTGCAAAGTCTAATCTAAGAACATTGTTGCTTCAAATTAAAACTGTCTTGTAGAATAAATCCTCTGCTTGTTTTCAGGAAATCTTTCTATACTCTAACACACCTGTCCAATACTAAGGATAAAGGATCTGTGGCTTGAAATAAGATCCTCCTCTTCCATTGCCTTTAATGTCTAAATCCTCCATTTCAAAGCATAATTGTGAACATAAAATACTATAGTCTCTCTTCTGCTGATGGAATCCTACAGGTTTCCACAGAAATAAAATTTGGAAAACGTGTAATTTTAGCATTTTTATGGCCTTATTTAAACAGACAGAAGCAGGCACATGATCTGCCAATAGATGCATTTTTAGAGATAGCGAGACCAACAAGAATCAGCAATTATCTGGAAATGTCTGAGAGCAGAACTGGAAGCTTGGATCATTTATAACATTGGGCAAGGTAGCTGTTGGCAGAGGTTGATAGAATAATTTGTTTATGTAAATTTAATTTTCCTGGCTGACTTTCCTATGAACATACTGGACTCAACCATTTTAGACTGCCAGAGTTCAAAGTCTGGAACTCAATAAAGAAACTTTGGCATGTGGCTGTAAAGTATGCCAAGGATCTTTCTGAGGTATTAAATGGGATCAGCTTTGCTTATAGAAAGAGTGGATCATTTTGGCACATATAACTAAATTAATTTATCTTAACCAAAGTTATATTTACCAGCAATTTTATCACCTTCAC